TTGTCATTTATATTTATAATTTTTTTATGTGAAATTTGGATGGCTGGTCTGCTGCCGAATGCCACGCCCTGGGTTGCAGCATTACTCAGGAACAAGTGATATGGAAGGATGTGTTAACTAAACAGTGCAAGGTCCCGCATCCGGTGTTGAGGCAGATGCGATATGCAGTTTGTGCTTTTCCGCAGGATTCAGAGGCCCCTGTGTGGATACCAGAGCGCCTAATGAGAGTGGTGAGAGCCTCCGTGCCGGACAACATCCAAGATGAAGCCCTGGACGCTCGGGTCGGTGATCCTGCTGGTAACACTGCTGCCTTCCAGAACACTGAGCCAACAGCTTCAACTGTGGGCGATCGTGAAGGCATGGTCAGTGCCATTACTGGTGACCAATAGTTCATCAATGCTGCCCCCATTATTCAACACCAACGCGACTATTGGACTACTGGTGGTACCCCTGGAAAACCCCACAGAGCCATCCACACACCGGACAATTCAATTGTACGGATCGGTTTGTTTTCAAAGCCCCTCATGGGCAAATGGGACCAGACCTTGCATCCTATTGGTGAACCAGACCATTGGACAATTTCAGAGGAACAGCTCAGGAGGATGGGCACATCTCCTGACGGGTCAGGTACCCTGCTTTTTGCCCACACTCACAATGCGGGAACCATTTTGTGACTGGGAGTTTGTCAGCTCCTCCCTCGTTGTATGGACCAATGGCCATAGCCGCCAGAGTGGACTGGCTGCCAGAGCACTGTCACCCTTGTAGGGTGGCTCCTGGCTGAACTTGTCCAATCTGTTTCTGACTTATACCAATGACACCTTCCCGGGATACAATTTTTCCTACAAGGACCCAGTACAATCAGTGACATCCAGACCTTGGAATGCTTGGGTTTTATGTACCATTTATCACATTCAATGTCTGTTCATTTTGATAATTTGACTGCCGAATTGTGGACACAAACTCTTACCATTAACGCTATCAAGGTGGAAATTGCTTCTGTGGAACCATGGACTAATTCGTTGATAAAGTGTTTATCCTTTGCTAAGCAGTGGGCTGGAATGATTGGCGTATGCATGCTTGTGATGATCTGATAGCCTGGGCCATTCGCACTCTATGCAGATGCATTTTAGCAACAGCAGCAACAACAGGTGTTGTTAGTGCAGGTTGTCATGGCCTTGGCTAGACAAGAATGCCCTGAGGTATGGCTTAACAATATGGACTGGTAATCAAAGACGGGTAAGGATCCAGTAAGGCTCTACCAACCTAAGCCAGGCGCCACGAGCCATGTGGTTAGCTGATGACGGGTAAGGAGAGCCTACACCAGGACACCTAAGACAGGCACAGTCCTGTGATTAATAAAACAAAAGGGGGAGCTGTAGGGAGCCTGACTCCCACACCCTAAACTGACAGCACCAGACAGCTGCTTCCTCCTGTGCTAGAAAAAACAAGCCACAGCAAGTCTGCTGTGATTGGCCCAGGGGTGCGTGGATGGTGCGTGGACAGCGCATGATGTGTGATGATTGGCCTGCACAGTGCATGCACAGGTGACCTCTATGTCGATTTGCCTGGTTATCCAATATATAAGGGAGCCAGAGAACCAGGGAGGGGGGAGAGAGCGTGCCTCAGAGGGAGAGAGCGCGCCTTGCAATGGTGTAGCTGCTGCGCGGCTGCACGGCGGCTGCTGTGTTGGTTTTGTTGTGTCTTCTCCACAATAAAGATTCTGCAAGGACTACAAGTGTCCGGGTTTGACTTGCTGGTCAAGGGACACTGACAACAAGAAACTACAAAATGAGAAGTAGCAGAAAAAGTCATGACACAGAAGAAAGATTAAGCACTAGCCCCACCCAAAATTACAAAAAAAGACTAATCTCAATTTCTGAGATGTGAGATGAAGTCATAGAGAAATTATCAGATAAGGAATTTAAGAAAATAGTGATGAAATTCATCAGAGACAGAGAGAAGTTTGGGGAAGAGTCCAAGAAATTAAAAAACCATGTCATTGCAGAAATAAACCAACTCAGAAAGGGAATCCTCGATCTTGAACACAAAATTGAAAGCCTAACTAACAGAATGAACACAGCAGTGGACAGAATATCAGAAATGGAAGACAACGAGAATGAAAGTCAGCAGCTCATCAAACACTTGGAACAAACCTGAACAAAGCCAACAGGTCCATACAGGAAATGAAGGACAACCTCAAAAATCAAATATTAGAATAATTGGCCTTCCAGAAGGAGTAGAAAAGAGATAGGCTTAAAACGAGTGTTCAATGAAATGATACAGGAGAACTTCCAGAACACTGGAAATATAAATCCAGCAGAAATTCAGGAAGGTCCGAGAACCACCCATGGATCTGACCCCAAGAGACCCTGGCCCAGACATGTGGTCCTCATGCTCCCCTCAAGTGAACATAAGGAAACTATCCTAAGGCAAATAAGAAGAAAGGATAAAATTACTTTCAGAGAAGGCAAATCAGAATCACAGCCTATCTCTCAGAAGAAACACTACAGGCAAGGAGAGAATGGAGTAAAACCTTTCAAATCCTGAAACAAAACAACTGCAAACCAAGAATAATGCACCCAGTGAAGCTTTTGTTTGCATTTGAAAATGAAATTAAATTCTTCCACAGTAAAGAGAAACTTAAAGTATATGCCAGCATTAAACCAGCTAAAGAAAATCTCCTTAGGAATGTGCTACACACAGAAAGAAAAAATGAAAGTCGGAACCAAAATGGCAAATGGGAAGACCTCCCCACTAAAAACCACATGAGGAAAGTCAACCAATCAGAGATTCCAATAGAGGAAAACACACACACTAGCACGCTTACACATGCACATGGCAGCTCAATATCACAACCTCTCAATGTTATCACTAAACACAAATGGCCTAAATTCATCAGTCAAAAGACACAGATTAACAGAATGGATTAATAAACAGAATGCAACCATATGCTGCCTACAAGAGACACATCTAACCAAAAAGGATGCGGAGAAACTGAAAGAGAAGGGATGGGAAATGATATTTCATGCCAATAGAAGAGAAAAAAAAGGCCACAGAAGCTGTTGTAATCTCAGATGACTTAGACTTCAATGTGACAAACATCAAAAGAGAGAGAGATGGACACTTCATATTGCTGAAGGGAACCTTCCAACAGCAATTGATTACTATTATTACCATCTATACACAAAAACACGGGTGCACCAAAGTACGTGAAGCAATTGCTGATAGAATTAAGAGGGAACACACAAGAATCCTGGGGTACCGCAAAACTCAGTTAACAGCAATAGACAGATCATCAAAACAGAAATTTAACAGAGAAACAGTAGAACTCACACAGACAATAGAACTAATGGACCTGGTGAACATTTATAGAAACCTCCACCCTCAGACACAGAATACACATTTTTTTCAGCAGTGCATGTCACCTTCTCCAGAATTGACCACATGATAGGGCACAAAGCAAGCCTCACTAACTTCAAAGACATCGAAGTCATACAATGCTCTTTCTCAGACCACAATGGAGTGAAACAGGAAATCAACAAATCAATATGCCCCAGGAAGTGCATAAACACCTGGACACTGAACAACTAAATGAGCAGTGGGTCAGAGAACAAATAAAGGACAAGATCAAAACATATTTATGGAAACATGCAAAAAATAAAACACAACATTCCAGAACTTGTGGGAAACCACCAAAGAAGTCTTGTGTGGTAATTTCATAGTAGTTGGTGCATATGTCAAAGCCCAAGAAAGATACCAATTACAAGAATTAAACATCCACCTCCAGAAATTAGAGAAACAGCAACAAATAGACCCTTCAAACAAAAGGAAATAAGATATCATCAAAATAAGGGAGGAGATAAACCAAATAGAAATTAAAAAAAAAAAAACTATACACAAAATGAATGAATCAAAAAGCTGGTTCTTGGAGAAGACAAACAAAATAGACACCCCACTGGAATGACTGACAAAGAAAAACAAGAGAAAATGAGGATTAACAGCATCAAGGATGAAAAAGGCAGCATAAGAATTGACACTGCAACCATTAAGAAAATAGTTAGAAATTACTACAATGAACTATACTCCAACAAATGAGAAGACAACCAGGAAAAGGAAAGGTTCTTGGACTCCCACCACTTACCAAAACTTTGCTCAAAGTCAACAGAACACCTGAACAAACCCATACCTGAGGCAGCGATCAACTCAGTGATCAAAGATCTTCCAACAAAGAAAGTCCAGGCCCAGAAGTTTTCACTTCAAAGTTATCCAAAACATTCCAAGCAGAACGAACTCAATCCTCTACACAGTATTCAGAGCAAAAGAAAAGGAAGCAACACTTCCAAACTCATTCTATGAAGCCAACATCACCTTAATCCCAAAACCCGTAAGAAAACTAACAGAGAAGGAAAACTACAGACTGATATCCCTGATGAACATTGATGCTAAGTTTCTCAATGAAATCCTAGCCAATAGAATAAAAAGAAAGCAGACAGATCATTCATTCAGATCAATTAGGATTCATTCCTGGCATGCAGAGATGGTTCAACATTCAAAATCCGAAAATGTAATACACCACATCCAAATACTGAAGAACAAAAATCATATAATAGTATCAATAGACACAGAAAAGGCTTTTGACAAAATCCAGCACCACTTCATGCTGAAAACCCTAGCCAGGATAGGCATAGAAGGAACAATCCAGAACACAATCAAAGCAATATATGAAAACCCCAATGCCAGCCTCAGCCTGAATGGAGCAAAACTGGAACCCTTCCCACTGAGATCTGGAACAAGACAAGGATGACTGCTATCTCTACTGCTATTCAGCATAATCCTGGAGGTATTCGCTGAGGCCATAAGACAAGAGAAAGAAATCAAAGGAATCCAAATGGAAAATGAAAAAGCCAAGCTCTCACTATTCGCAGTCGACATGATTGTTTTCCTAGAATACCTAGACACGGAATACAGAAACTGCTAAAACTTATAAAAGAGTGTGGTAGGGTGGCAGGGTACAAAATAAGTGAACAAAAAACAACAGCCATATTGTATGCAAACAGCCCCCAACATGGAAAAAGATCTTGCTAATATCATACCATGCAAAATAACACAGAAGAGTATCAGGTACCTAGGAATTAACCTCACCAAAAATGTAGGAGATCTTTTTGAAGACAACCACAGTAAGCTTAAAAAAAAAAAAAAATTGAGGAGGACTTCAAAAGATGGAGAAACATCCCAGGCTCCTGGATAGGTAAAATCAATATCGTCAAGATATCCATACTACCAAAAGCAATATACACATTCAATGCAATCTGAAACAAAGTACCTAAAACATTCGTCATAGAACTAAAAAAAAAAAAAATGACCTATAGGCATACTACAGAGAGGTTGTCATCAAAACAGCTTGGTACAGGCACAGAGAGGAGGACCAATGGAGCAGAATAGAAACAACAGATGGGAACCCACACAGATACAGCTGATTAATCTTTCACAAAGAACAAAAAAAAAGACAACAACCCACACAAATGAGTAGGTCTCTTCAATTAATGATGTTGTTACAACTGACTGATAGCCTGTAGAAACGAGAAGATAGATCTGCATCTCTCACTATACACTAAGATCAAATCAAAAAAGATAAAGGACCTAAACCTACACTCAAAAACCTTCAAACTGCTGGAAGAAAATGTAGGAAACACTTGGCAAGAGCTAGGTGTAGGCCTTGACTTTCTAAATAGAAAGCCAAAATCAATACTACTCAAGACCAAAGTAAACAACTGGGACTATATCAAACTAAAAAGCTTCTGCACAGCAGGGAAACAATCAACAAAGTCAAAAAAAAAAAAAAAAACCCACAAAATGGGAGAAGATTTTGCACACTATATAGTTGATGGGGCTAATCTCCAGAACAACCAAAACACCAAAGCAAAGAAACCACTCAGAAAATCGGCACAGGAAATGGGCAGACATTTCACAAAGGAACAAACCCAAATGACAAACACTTGAAAAAATGCTCAAGTTCGTTGGCAATAAGGGAAATTCATATTAAGACATCAATGCAGTAAGACCTAACACCAGTAAGAATGGCTCATATGCAAACAACCGCCAACAACACTTACTGGTGAGGTTGTGGGGAAAGGGAAAATTTATCCATGGCTGGTGGGGCTGCAGGTTGGTGCAACCTCTATGAAAATCAGTATGGAGAACACTCAAACAACTGAAAATTTGCATATCATATGATCCAGCATTAGCACTCCTAGGAATATATCCAAAACATCTGCTACATGAGAAACCTACGTGCACTCCCATGTTCATAGCAGCACAATCAATAATTGCAAAAACTTAAAAGCAACAGAAATGCCCATCAACAGAAGACTGGATAAGAAAGCTATGGCTTATTTACTCCATGGAATATCACTCAGTTCTTTAAAAAAAAAAACAAAATGCATTTCTTTGTGGACAAATGGGCCCAAGTGGAAACCATCATGCTAAGGGGAATAAGTGAATTACAAAAAGTTAGATATCACATGTTTCCCTTAATTTAACTTGGAACGCTGTCAATTTGTAAAAAATGTACCAGTGAAATGTAGTATTACATTGTTAATTAACCCTGTAATGTTGGAAAAAATTTGTTGATGTGATACTATGGCATATAATTGGTCAAATTGATAATCTGCCACCTATATCTATAGACCAGAGTTGGTCTCCTCAAGAAACTGATGAATTCAGCTGTGCAATAAGATACTGGACACTATGCACGGTACATGCTTGCATTAAAAGAAACAAGGCTAGATTTGAACTGTAACACTGCCATAAGGTAGAGCAATCCACCATGGGGGAAGGGCAATGGGAGGAGAAGAAGGGACATCAGAGTGTATAAAACATTGTTATAATATTAAATGCAATAAAAAATAAAAAATGAAAAATAAAAAAGAAGGATATGGTGCAAAACATTGGATCCCTCAACTGATTTGTGAGAAGAAAGCTCCTGGCTGTTGTGTTGGGATAAGCTCACCTCTGGCCGTTGCAGCCACTTGGGGAGTGAACCCGTGGATGGATGATCTTTCCATCTCCTCTCTATTGATCTATCATTCCAGGAAAAATAGTTAAATCCTTTACAAGAAGAAAGAAATAAAAGATTCAGGCAGCTTGAGATGACACCAGAAGCATGTGAAGTGGGAGCCTTGGAACATCAGCCTCCCCAGGTGATGTCACTTGACAAAGTCTGCAACTAGGAAAGAGAAGTCCTATGACAGAGCCCAGGGTGGAAAGTGTCAGAGTGTTTGGAAGAGGACGTTACTGAGAGAACAAACTGAAAGAGTTTGTGTGCCTGGAGCTTCATGCTAAACCTCTCCATCCTCCTGTGCTGTGGTAATCCCGTGTTGTCCTTGAAGACACGTAGGCACTGAAGGTGAGAAATCTTTCTCTGAAAATAACTGCTGGGTGAGCCAACTTTCCTTCAATTGCTGGCAGAGTTCCCTCAGGCTACCCTCATTAAATCTGTTCTTCTCTCTACGTCCTTTTGTTTCTCAAGTATGCACTATGCCCCCTTCAGCAGTACTCAGTGCCATGAGATTTTGTCCCAGTGGGTTTTCAAGGTGGAAGGATGCTGTGCATAGTTCAACTGGGATCATGCTGAATCTGTAGCTTGCTCTTGGGAGTAAAGACTTCTGAATTCATACAACAAATATACAAGCACGACTTTTTCATTTGTAAATTGCATAGAGCTTATAAGTTCTTTCTCTGGTATGGTGCCATTTGTGTATACGAAGTTTATTAACTTTTGTGGCCCCTGGTAATAGTCTCTTATTGGTGTATATTGTCTTGTATAGACAAATCTTTACTTACTTTTATGGGATAACTTACTTACAAATTAAATAAATTTTCCTGTTTGCTCTGGTAGTAGTTTCCTGCTTGTGTAGGTAGCTATTTCATGTGCTTCCATTGCTCCTTCGATTTCCTCTTTGGCATTGTGTAGTCATCCCTATGTCTATATCTTATAGAATGTTTCTGGTTATAATATTCAGGATTATATTTAGTGGTAGGAATGAGAATGTACCTTTTTATTGGTTCAGGATCCTAGTGTAAGTCCCTAGAAACTTGGCCACATTCAATATACTGCTGGGCTGTGAGTGCTAAATGCAATCCTTTAACATATTAAGAGATATTCCTCATTGCAATCTTTGCTTTAGGATTTGAATAAGAATAGAGGTCATTTGTACCTTTCTTAAAAAGTTAAATATTTTTGTTTAAAGGTTGATATACAGAGAGGAGCAGAGATATAGAGGAAGTTCTTCCATCTAATGATTTACACCCCATGTGAACAACAATGGCTGCAGTTGAGCCAATCTGAAGCTAGGAGCCAGGAGCTTCTGCTGGTCTCCCATGTGGATGCAGGGTCCCAAAGCTTTGGGCCATCCTTGACTGCTTTTGTAGCCCACAGGCAGGGAGTTGGGTGGAAAAGAGGGCCGCCAGAATTAGGCTCAGTCCCCATATGGGATTCTGACATGCACAAGGCAAGGACATTAACCACCCTGCTATCACATCAGGCCTGCATGTTGTATCCTAAAAAAATGCTTTTTCTATGTACTGAGATTATCATGGCTTTCATTTTTTCATAGGCTATAGCATGTGTCACATTTACTGCCTTCCACTATCAAACAAACACTGCATAATGATGTTTATGGTGAGCTGTGGGATTTGATGAGTAGTGTTTTCCTGAGGATTTTTGCAATGAATTCAATCAGGGATAGTTCTCTGTCTAGTATCATTGTGCTGTGTGATTAAGCAAATCAATGCGCTTTGGGATTAAGCACAAAATTCTCAGAAGTTTGAGAGGATTTCTGCCTTAAGTTCTTTAGGATATCTAGAGAAGAATTGCTATTGATTAGTCTTGGAATTTATGGTAGAAGCTCCCATTGAAGCCATCTAATCTGAGCTGCTTTATGTGGTCATAGCCATAATTCCTTCATCTGTAACTACCTCAGGTATTTCTCTATTTAGGTCAACTATGTCATCATGGCTGAATATTGCTATATACTTAGAAATTTCTCTATGCTTGTTTGTTGCAAATAATGTTGTAAGATGACGATAGCACGGGGACTTGGAGATTGGGCTTGGCTGGGGAGAGGGGACTGTGCAACACTGCCACTGCTGGCAGAGGAGGGCAGGGATGGGGGTTTGTGTGTGACACAGAGAAAAAGAGTAACAGACTCTGTCTGTGTGTATGTGTGTATATGTGTGTGTGTGAGAGACAAAGAGACAGACAGAGAGACACAGAGAGAGGCAGAGAGAGAGATGGGACTGTTGGGAAGTGTGGGAGGTGGCAAGAGGAGAGCCGAGTCCCCCAGAGTCCTAGCTCTGGCCAAGGACCTGACTGGATCAGTCACTTCCATTGTGTAGGGAGCCAGAAGCCAGGCACTAACCACCCAGAGAACCCCATCCAGCAGTCTGAATGGCTTGGGTGTTGGGCTGTGCATGGTGTGGGGCTGAGCAGCCTGCACCACAGGTGGTCTTGGCTAGCCTCAGCTCCACTCACCTCTGGCAGCACCCTGTGAGCAAGAGTAGGTCCTGGAGAGCTGAGACAGACCTGCAGGACATTACCCACAAACTGTGTACAAGGCTGTGGTTAGCCAGACCTGGAGAAGGGAATGTGGCAATGTTCTTCTGAGGATCCAGTGGTGTGGTACAGCCAGAAGCATACTGCTGCCGGACTGGAAGTTGAGGTGGTACCAGCAGAGGAGCTCCTGACAAGTGCAAGTTCAGGCTGTGGTCCAGAGCAGAGCATTGGGGTTGTCCGCAGTGGAATGTGCAACCACTCTAGTCCTGAGCATGGCTGCTGGTGTTGTACCTCAAGGGAGGCGAGACCTGGAATCAGAGGCCTGGTGAGCTGAGGCCCATCCTGTTAGGCAGCACATGGGGCTGTGGAAGGGAAGGCAGTGAGACACATGCTGCAGCCTCCATGTTCACTAGTGCCACAGGTGTCTCCTTGGCCCCAAGCAGATTACATACCACTTGAGCTGAGAAGTGTCAAAATGAGCAGGAT